TGCGCCCTGGAATGTATTGCATGCCCCAAATGTATTTCAACCCCACAAATCTATTGCACCAAATGTATTACACCACCCCTTGTCGCTGGAACCCCTTCTGTGTCAACCCGAGCAACCGAGTGCCATGTTTTTCCGCATCTGTTATGAAATGCGTACGTATGTATGATTATGTGCTGTAGTGTGACGCCCCACGGCGGGATCAACATGTTAGTAGGTGTTTGTGCACGTTTGTGTTATAACCGGAACGACATATGCTTTTGTTACGCATGGCATGTTTTTTTTCGGTGCGACGCAGTTCATGCCATCATTCGCTTACGCATTTCTGTATGTCATTTACCTATCTCGCTCGGGCTCGGGAGTAGTCTCGTGCTTTCCTGGACGAAGAATATCTGCTACCTGGATCATCAAGGTATCTGCACACCTACTTGGGCTGGCCCTCTTGAGTTCTTTGAGCCCCTTAGGTCAGTCGTCTTTGGGCACAACGAGCGTGACATCGTATTCTTGTGGTGCTACATATTTAGTGAGTCAGAGTACCACGGTATGACTGTCAAAGTGATAATGGAAGAGGAGGGTGTACAAATATCTTGGCGAATGGCAGCGTCACTCCAGTCGTGTGGCGTTGGGCCCTCCGCGAGGGCCTCCGCATGCGATAGGCGCCTCGCATGCTTCCACGTGCGATGAAGGGCACGACACACCGATCAATAACATAAAGATATGGGAGATCCTGGCCCAGGGCCCCGGGGAGGAGGAGGAGGAGGAGGAGGAGGAGGAGGAGGCCCCTCCCTTGTACGACGGTGCCCCCCCTCCCCCCCCTGAGGCGCTCTCTGAGCACCCCCCGAGGTCCCAGGAAGCCCGAGACTCTTCCAAGACCGCCCAAGATAGGCGGCGATTGGCCCTCAAGGCCCCCAGAAGCGCCCCACGAGAGCAGCCCCAAGGCGCCCCAAGATGCCCCAAGAGGCCCTCCAAGAGGCCCCCCAAGAGGGCCCCAAGAAGCAAAAGCCGTCCCATTCCTTCGGGAAAGCGTATATTTTTCATCCGCCTCTTGGGCTTTCACAGCGTCCACGACGGCCCAAGAGGCTCCCAAGGCGGCCCAGGAGGCTCCTAAGAGAGCTCCAGGACTGCCCAAGAAGGGCCCAAGACGGCCCAGGAGGCTCCCAAGATGGCCCAAGAGAGCCCCAGGACAAGCCCAAGAGGGGTCCCAGAGGGGGAAAACCAACTTCAAATTTCGAGCCTTGGCCCCAAGAGGCTCCCAGGAGCCCCAAGAGGCTCCCATGAGGGCCCCAAGAGGCCCCAATTGGGCCCCCAAGAGGGGGGGGTCACTGCCGGTTCGACCCCCCTCCCCCCTCGCCGCTGGCAAACGATTCCGGCTCCTCGGGACAGTTGGATAGTGGTGGGGATAACTGGGACAGTGGTGGGGACGGTCCAGGTGGGGACAGGTGTGGGGACAGTGGGACAGTGGTGCGGACAGTGGGACGGTGGTGGGGACGGTGGTGGTGGGGACAGTGGTGAAGGGACAGCGGGACATTGGTGGGACAGCGGTGGGGACTGTGGGGACAGTGGGACAGTGGTGGGGACAGTAGTGGTGGGGACAGTGGTGAAGGCGGTGGTGAGGACGGTGGGGGGACAGTAGTACAGGTGGGAGAGTGGTGGGGACAGTGGGGACAGTGGGACAGTGGTGGGGACAGTTGGACAGCACAGTGGGACAGCGGCGGGGACAGTGAGGACAGTGGGGACAGTGGGACAGTGGTGGGGACCGTGGGACAGTGGGACAGAGGTGGGGACAGTGGGGACACAGGGGAGAGTGGGACCGTGGTGGGACAATGGTGGGGAGAGTGGGGACAGTGAGACACTGGTGGGGGCACTGTTGGGGACAGCGGGGACTATGGTGGGAACAGTGGGGACAGTGGGACAGTGGTGGGGACTGTGGGACAGTGGTGGGGACTGGTGGTGGGGACAGTGGTGTGGGGACAGTGCGACAGTGGTGGGGACAGTGGGGACAGTGGGACAGTGGTGGGGACAGTGGTGGTGCGGACAGTGGTGAGGGCGGTGGCGAGGACGGTGGTGGGACAATGGGACAGAGGTACAATGGGGACAGTGGTGGGGACAGAGGGGACAGTGGTGGGAACTGTGGGGCAGCTCAGTGGGAGAGCGGCGGGGACAGTGGTGACAGTGGGGACAGCGGGACAGTGGTGGGGACCGTGGGGAAAGTGGGGAGAGTGGGATCTCGGTGGGAGCAGTGGTGGGGACAGTGGGGACAGCGGGGACTATGGTGGGGGCGCTGGTGGGGACAGTGGGGACGGTGGTGGGAACAGTGGGGACAGTGGTGGTGGGGACAGTTGTGCAGGGGACAGCAGTGGGGGATGTGGTGCGGACGGTGGTGGGGTCCCGAGAGTCGTTTGCCGGCGGTGAGTGGGGGGGGGCGAGGGTTCGACCCCCCACGGTTTTCTGGAGAGGGGGGAGGGGGTCGAGCCGGTAGTGACCCCACCCGGTTTTCTGGAGGTGGGGTGGGGGGGTGTCGAACCCGTAGTGACACCCCCACAATTTTCTGGAGGGGTGTGGGGTGGTTCGAACCGGTAGTGACCCCCCCCCCGGTTTTCCGGGGAGGAGGGGGGGGGGGCGGAGGGGTTCGGGGGGGCGGAGGGAGGGGGGGGTCTCCCAGCAGGGTGGGGGATTTTCGAAGGGGGGAGGGGGACCCCGGGTTCCGGAGGAAGAGCGGGGAGAATATTGCACAGTAAAGAGGCGGTGGATCACGCTCTCTCATAGATGGAGATCCTTGCAGGGTAGGATCCGCGTCAGGGGTGTGCCGAAATATGCCGAGGGACGCCATGCGATCCCTCCTGTTGGAGCCGTCGGTGGAGCTCCCTGTGGGGCGCGATCCGTGTGAGGGGGTGTGCTGACATGTGCGTGAAGACACCATGCGAACATTCTCTCTGGGGCCGTAGGTGGAGCTCCCTTTGGGCCACGATCCTGCCAGGGCGGTGGAGAACAGCTGCCCATCTGTTCGCGGAGACCTCTCTGGGAACATTCGGGAGGAGAAGAAGGAGGAGGAGGAGGAAGAGGAGGAGGAGGAGGAGGAGGAGGAGGAGGTAGGAAGAGGAGAAGCTGCAAACAGAACATATGAGGCGCAGGACGTGGGACAGAAAGAAAAGGCGGAGGGTGATGATGATGATGATGATGAGGAGGAAGAGGAGCAACAAGAGGAAGAGGAGGAGGACGAATAGGAGTGAACATGGAGTAACGAGGAGGATGAGAAGGAGGAGGAGGGAATGATGAAGGAGAGCAGGAGTATGAGCAGGAGCAGGAGCACTGGGAGGAGGAGGGCGAGGAGGAGAAGGATGAGGAGAAGGACGACGACAAGTGAGGGGGAAGGGGGAGGGGGCCGAAGCGGATGGAGACTCTGCAACGCCCACATGCAGCGGACTTCGCAATGTCGCCGATCAGACGAGCGAAAGCGAGAGCCGTAAACCGTGGCGCAGCTGTGACTAGAAACTAAGCGCGCGAAGAGCGCGTGGTTCTAATATTTTTTTTGTATATGTATACGCCTGGAGACATGCCTGTGATCATGAACAATTGGGCATGCATATGCACAAGTATTCGTGCTTTTGTTGTTGTTGATTGTTTTGTGTTTTCGTTGTTTCTATGTATACGTAATACTTTTATTTACATTTGCGTAAACTTATGTATATGATTATGCATGTAGGTGTATTTGCACGTGCACATTTGTCTACATACAACGTATTCATTCACATACAGATGCACAATCGCATGTGTATGTATATGTTACATCTATAAACGTATCCATGAATATATACATACATGCAGACAGACAGACAGGCTGACAGACAGGCAGGCAGACATATAGACATACATACATACATACATACATACAGAGAGACGGACAGACAGACATACATACATACACACGTACGCATGCATACATATACATGCATACATGCACACGCATTCATTTATTATTTAATTGCTTTATCCATTCATTGCTTCATTGATACATACATAAATTCGCACATCCATATACACATACACGCGTACATACATACATACACACATACAACATACATATCTACCTACCTTTCTACATCCATACACACATACATACGTACACATACATACATACATACATACACACATACATACATACACACATACATACATACACATACATACATACACATACATACATACACATACATACATACATATACATACATACATATACATATACATACATACATACACACATGCATACATACATACATACACACATACATCCATACATCCATACATCCATACATCCATACATCCATCCATCCATCCATCCATCCACACACACATACATACATACATACATACATACATACATACATACATACATACATACATACATACATACACACACACATACATACATACATACATACATACATACATACATACATACATACATACAGTCATACATTCATACATTCATACATACATACATACATACATACATACATACGTACGTACGTACGTACGTATGTACGTATATACATACATTAATGCAAGCATACATTCATTCTTTCATACATACTTGCATACATACTTATATACATACATGCATGCATACATACTGATACATGTAACATACAAGTAGTAGCATTAACACTATAGAGTTTGGCCGAGCACGACGTTGAGCAAGACGGCACATGAGTCTCAACCACACGTGGGAACCATGGGAATTCGAGGGATGGAGACGATAAGTGAATTGAGAAGGCCGAGGGGGAGAGATCTGCAGAAGCCATCTACACCACCATGCCTGGCTCTGGGCCGTGAGGGTATACCCCGTTCCAGAGCCCAGGATGGCCCTGACCAGGCATGATGGTGGTGTATAGATGTCTTCTTGGTAAGGGGGAAAGAGAGACAGCGAGAGAGAGAGAGAGAGCGAGAGAGACATACATGGACACTGGTGGAGCGTGAGCGCTGGCACCCGCGGGCAGCAGGTCTATCCTGAGGAGCGCGTCGTGGGAGAGAAGGACCCCCGCGGCCACTGCCCCTCTGCACTCAGCGGGTTCGGCGGAGAAGGAAGAGGGGGAAGAGGACGAGCGCGAGGGAGGGGCAGGAGGAGACTGGAGGAGGACTGAGGTCCGCCTACCTGAGTTTTTCAATCCGCGGCCCCGGAGTCCCCGATCCCGTTCCCGTGGCCCGTTTTCCGCCCCGGATCCATGGTCGATGGCCCCCGGGGCCCGACAACGGGCCCCAGAGGTCGAAGTCGAGGAAACATGTGGGAGGAGGAGGAGGGAGGAGGAGGAGGGAGGAGGAGGGATGAGGAGGAGGAGGAGGAGGAGGAGGAGGAGGAGGAGGAGGAGGAGGAGGAGGAGGAGGAGGAGGAGGAGGAGAAGTCGAAGCGAGGAAACATATCGCGGGAGATGCGGTGATTGGATTTGGCCCGCCGGGAACAGCAGCCAGCCGCGCCCATCTTGCAGGTCTCGGCGCGACGTCGCAGGCCCTGGGAGCAGTGCACAAAGAGGCGGACCACGGGCTGTCTGGGTCGGCGTCCGGTCCTCGAGGTTCCAGCCTGGGGGGCCCGGACGAGACTGGAGGAGGAGGAGGAAGGGAAGGCCTCAGGTCTCAGGTCTGCCATCGATGTATCCACAGCGGCCATTGACATCACATCATGCACATTGAGACCGTCCAGAGGGGAGACCTGCAGGGAAATCGGGCCGCCCGCCGGGCCTCGACCAGCGGCTGCAGGCCAAGTCACCGCCACAAGCCGGCTGCCCGCCAAATCGGCGGCTGTAGGCTAGATCAGCGGCTGCAGGGCAAGGAGGGAAGCGGGGTGGGAGGGGAGTGTGGGCAGGGCTTCGGGTTGAGCAGGCGTTTCTTTCTCTTAGTGTTTGCGTCAGCAGTGTGGCAGGTCAGCAGTGTAGCACATTGTAGCATTGACTGGCTCTTGCCGAAGACGCCTACAACAAATCACCGCCGCCCCTTGCCTTTTGGTCGGGAAAGTCTGGCCAAGTTGTATGAGAATGTGTTCCCCCAGCCGTTGACGAACTCCTTGTGGGAACACTTGGGAGTGGAAGAGAAAGGAGGAGAGGGAGGGAAATGAGGAGGAGGAGGAGGAGGAGGAGGAGGAGGAGGAGGAGGAAGCAGAGGAGGCCTCTCGAGGCCTCCGGTGGGCTTCCTCGGAGCCTCTTCGGGGCCTTTGAGGGGCCTCTTCAGGCCTCCTGGGGCCTCTTGTATGCCTTCTGAGGTCTCGGGGGGGCCCCTCGGGGGCTTTTGGAGGCCCGCTAAGGAATCTCCTGGCCTTAGGAGGCCGTCTCGGGGTTCTCTCTGAGCAGTCGTGGGTTCATCTTTTGGCGATTCAGGCCGTCTTGGGGCATCTTGAGCTGTCTTGACGCTCTCGTGGGCCGTCTTGCGGGCCTCTTGGGCTCCTCTTGAGCCGTTTTGGGGCAATTTTTGGGGTCCATGGGCCGTCTTGGGAGCGTTGTGAGCCCACCAAGACGAGAACGCCAAAATCAGTGAACAACCCAAGGGACATCCATGTTTTTTGTCTCCTGGAGGTCCTCTTGGAGCCCTCTTCAGACGTCTTGGGGGTCTCTTGGGCCGTCCGGAGGGCATTTTGGGTTGTTTTGGGGCCATCTTGGGCCGCCTTCTTGGGGCAATCTGATCAATTTTGGAGGCCATCTTGCCCGTCTTGGAGGCCGTCTTGGGGCCGTCTTCAACGGGAATACCGATGGGACCAGCGCCGATCCAAGAAATTCGCGTGGACCTCCGAACGTTTACATTTGCACTTTTTCTGTCTCTAGTATACTATCTTGTTGTTGTGTCTTACGACGCATTAATGCATCTTCTCTACGCTATCTCCATGGGTGAAGACTCCACAGTACGTGTCCTCTGTTCAATTTGTTTCCAGTATTCGATTTCTATCCCTTCTCGAGGATGCATGCGGTGTGGGCATGATGGCCAACATGCAGAAGCCTCCTTCCCACGAGCTGCTGAAAGCCATCATGCGGGCGTGCCAGTGCATGGAGCACCGTGGTGCGTGCAGGAGACGCCTTCGTCTTCGTCGTTCTCCTATCATTTTTTTCTTCCCTACCTGCTCTTGCCCATCCCGTTGCTCATAGCTGTGGTTTATCAGGCGGTCACCCCGCACTCATTTTGAAATATTTCTTTGGCATAGCTGGAGGGTGGGCTGTTTCGAACTGTCGACCTGGGGGAAGTGAGTTCGTCTTCTGAAGAAGGTAGGTTGGTGAGTGGGCACGGGCTAAACACAACCAACTAGTGTCAGAGCCTGCCAGCTGGGCCCAATCTGGGCCCAATTGGGGCTGGGCAGGCATGCGAGTTGGTCGTTGTGGACATCGTCGTGGGTCTTGTCATTATCACCGGCAGCTTCAGCATCAGCATCACCACCATCGCGATCTTCATCCCCGCCATCGCGGGCATGCTTCTCTTGGGGGTCATGTGTGAGATTTCCAGCCTTGCGTCCACGGCTTGGGCGGCTACGTATCTAGTGATCTTCGGTGCATCCAGCCACCGTGCCTGGGTCGCGGGCACGAGGTCTCTTGGATGCGTCTTGGGGCCTCTTGGGATGCCTCTTGCACGTTTTAGGGGCTGCTTTTGGGCCTCTCGGTGGCCTTAAAAGTGCCTCTTGGGGGCCTCCGGGGCCTCTCGCGGCCGGCCTCTCGCGGACCTCTCGGGTGCCTGCTGGCGGTCTCGGGAGCCATCTCGTGGTGGAGAACTCCAAATGCTAGCGGGACTTCCTCTCTTGGGGGCCTCTTGGCGGCCTCTTGGGGCCTTCCTGGGGGCCTCGAGGGCCGCCTCGGAACGATCCCAGGCCTCTTGGGCTGTCTTGGCCGCCTTCAGACAGAAGCGCCGAGAATGTGGACGTCACACGAGCACCCAAGTTTGTGTGTTGGGTGATGTCTTGGGCATGCCCGGTGAGCGCACGTGACAGCCCAAGAGGACCCCAAGAGGGCTCCGCCACGGACCCCCGCGACCGTGAATGCTTTGGCATGTTGGAGGTTGAGCCCCCGAGGCTTCCGAGGAAACCACGCGGGGAGGGTCGGGAGGGCCCAGGAGTTCCAGAAATCCGGGACCTGAGGCCCTTGAAGAGCACGTTGAGTTTTCAGTAGGGAGGGCTCGAAGGAACCCGATGGCCCTCCGTGAAGCTTCGTGACGCATTTGGGCACGTCTATGTTCCTCGTGCCCTGGCCCGTGGGACGGGGGCGACGTGTCAAGCGATATTCGGCAGCTGTGTTGGGCTCAACGTGTTCTGTTTCGCGGTGCTCGGCATTTTTCGCGATTGGGAGATGCATTCTGCTCCTGACAGGGCATTGCCAATCCACACGTGCGGGGATCCGAACGACAAGCACCGGAGGTGGAGCTTTCGGAAGTTCTTGCACTTGCACGAGACTCGCAGGAGCTTTTTCTCGCTCCTGTGTTGTGTTGTTGTCTTGGCTTTCATTCGGGAGTTGCTGAAGATGCCCATGGCCTCAGGTGCCCCCAGCTTTTCGCTCAATTTTGGAGCCACTGGGGTCCTCTTGGCCTCGTGAGGGGTGCTCTGGAGGCTGTGTGGGCCACCTAGGGCCAGGGGCACTTCTAGCAACACCCGATTAATGGTGACGCTCGACTCAGGAGAGCTACTTGTACGAGAAGAAGATCTCAGCAAAATGCGGCCGATCATAACGGATCTGGCCCACGATTTTGCACCAATGAGAAGGATGCTATGCAATGACACTGTCGCAGACGATCATGCACCTGCCACTCTCCCAAGGAATCAGGGGTGGAGCCAGCGGCGCCGTCCACGCCGACCGAGGAACACCTCCTCCAGAACTCCCCACGGCGAAGTGAGAGAACGTTTCCCAGGACTATGCAAGGGGTGGCATACCCCTTGGGATTCGTGTGCCGTCATCTTCGGTGTGGAGTCATCCGGCACCAAGCTGGCTAGTCAGCTAGCTGCGGTAGCTCTTGGACTCGCAGGCAGCTTGGAGGATTTTCGAATGCACGGTGATGTTGCGTGCCACACGAACATCAGTCAGTGTTTGCACAACAATTTGGTGGTGCACCGCTCTTTGCCCTATGGCCATTCCTTCCCGAATGTGACTGCCATTGTCAATGATTTGAAGCTGAACTGCAGCAAGGTTCGATTGGTTATCTGCACTCGGGACAGGCACATCAGCATGCGATCAAAGTTGTGGACACATCAGCACTCACGTACTGCAGCGGCTTACGAACAAGCACTCGGTGTGAGTATGTTACAAGAACTGGTGAGGTCAGGCATTGCGCCTCACTTTATTTTCTCCTACGAGTCGCTAATGCTCTTGGGCGACGCCTACATAGACCAGTATATCAAGTTCTTGCACGATAGCCCCACGTATGAAAATCATGAGATGATGGCTCTCGCCAGTCCCTATTTGCGCAACGCTAATTTCAGATACACCCGTGCAAGCATAGTGGCCGGTTTAGGTGAGTGCTTGTACCGAACGTTGCTGAATGCTATCGACAGAATTTGGACCGGTGGTCGCGCAACAATGGTAGCGTCTGCATCGTGAATACCAGAACGCCGCGGCGGAGTTCTCCTGCGATGCTCTTGCTCCATTGTCGACACTGTGGGCCTGTGGGCAGACGATATGCAACACTTCCTCACGGACGCACGGATTTCATGATCATGGCTGGGATTGTCAGGAGGTTGCGACGATTTGGAAGATAAATTCACGAAGTTCAACATCAAGTGACAGTGTGCACCGCGGCCGCGCCTTCACGCCCATCCGATCAGTGTCGAGCCCGTGTGCCCGCTTGCCCTCATCCCAGTGTCGGCGGCGAGCCCGGGGGGGAAGTGCGAAGGGGCGGGCCTTCTCAGAAGGCTCGGCAGTCCCCCGGCCTTCTTAGAAGTTTTCTTAGTCTTCCCTGAAGACGCAACAGAAACCTCTCAGAAGACACTCGGGTTTCTGAGAAGTCCCGCCGTCTTCCGGGAAGGCCTCCTCCTTCTCTCACTTCCCCCCTTCGCTCGCCGCCGACAGTCTGCCCCACCTCCGCCCGCCCACCCACCCGGTCTGCCGGACGTCCCTCCAGGGTGGAGATCAGGGCTGGACCTGGACGCTGTTCCGCTGGACTTCGGGGCTGTGCTCTGTTCTTTGCTCTGGACAGGGAGGCGCGGGACAACAGTCAGGAGGAGTAAAAACACACAGACACAAGTAATCGTCGATTCCCCAGAAAATATGTCAAAATATGGGCAGTGGGGGGAAGACAGAAACCCAGAAAATATGGGGAAATATGGGGGATCCTTTATTTGTGTGTATCTATTTGTGTGTCCCAGGGCCCCTTCAAACAGGTCCAGAGCAAAGCGAGCAACAGAACGAACACAGAACGGAACACAACTCTCCGGCCCAGCCCCGGTGGAGATCGCGGGGGGCGCCGCTCAGAGGGCGCGGCGTGCGCCACGGCTGCTGCTCGCAGCCGGCGGCGCCGAGGGGATGAGGGGATGAGGGGGAGGGAGGGGGAGGGGAGGAAGAGGGGGGAGGAGGGTGGAGGAGGAGGCGGAGGAGGAGGAGGAGGGGATGAGGGGAGATGAGGAGGAGGATAGGAGGAGGAGGGGAGGAAGGGGGAGGGGGGGAGGAGGGGAGGAGGAGGAGGAGGAGGAGGAGGAGGAGGAGGAGGTGCTGCTCCCCGCGGCGGCGGGCTGGCAGCACGGGAGCCCTCGCGGCGCGGCGGCGCGAGCCTGCCCGGAGGGCCACGGCGCGCTCGCCGAGGCCGCGGCGGCTGCTCCGCGGGGCCCCCCTCCCCAGCGGTGTGCCGCTAGGCGCTCGCCTCGGGCGGAGCCCGCCGCTGCGCTCGCCTCCGCGGGCGCCCGGCTGCTCGACCGCTGTGCTGTCTTCGCGTGGCCCGCCCGCCCGCGGGGGCGCGGGCGTGGTCGCGCCCCGCTCCTCGCTCCTCGCCCTCCCTGCGACGGCGAGCGAGGGGGGGGGAGGCGAGAAGCAGGGGGCCTTCTCGGGGGGCGGCGGGGCTCCCCAGAAGCCCTCGCGCCTTCCCCGAGAGGTTTTTGGTTGCGCCGCCCGGGAGGGCTGAGACAACTCCTCAGAGGGCCGGGGGACTGCCGAGCCCTCTGAGGAGGCCCGCCCCTTCTCACTCCCCCCCCGGGCTCGCCGCCGAGGGCCTCCCAGGGGGTCCCCCCGCAAACGGTAACGATCGCGCGTTTCGGGTGGGCCCTGCGGGTGCTCGCAGGCGCCCTGCCGGTGTGCTCGCAGGCGCCCCGGCGGTGTGCTCGCAGGCTCTGCGCGGGTGCCCCAGCCCGCCTAGGCGTTACCGTGCCGGTTCACCCAGGACCCCCCCTTCCTTCCGTGGTTAACCCTTTTTACACGCCAGTCGTTGAAAGTAGTTTTTTTTTGATTTCCAGATCCCAGTCTACCTCAAACGCCCCTTTCTGGCCATAAACATAATCGCTCTGCCCTTGCGGTGTTCTGCGGTTCTCTGGGAGGGCCTGAGCCCAATCTGCGCTATCCGCCTTCCTGCTTCATGCTTCCGACCGAAGTGCACGCGGAAGTGATACAAGGCAAGCTCCCAGAGATCCGCCGGTATGATTTTTTCAATGCGCGGCTCCAGGGGTCCTGGCCCCCCTCCCCTGGGGGGTCAGCGCGGTGTCCTGGACCCGTTTTTGACAGCCCGGGGCGCGAGGATGGGCCCCATGGCTCCTCTTCCTCCTCCTCCTTCTTCTCCGCCCCTCCTCCTCCTCCTCCTCCTCCTCCTCCTCCTCTCCTCCCTCCTCCTCCCCTCCTCTCTCCTCCTCCTCCTCCTCCTCCTCCTCCTCCTCATCCTCCCTCTCCTTCCCTTCTCCTTCTCCTTCTCCCCCTCCTCCTCCCCCTCCTCCTCCTCCCCTCCTCCTCCTCCTCCTCCTTCCTCCTCCTCCTCCCCTGCTTTTCCGGCTCCTCCTCCTCCTCCTCCTCCTCCTCCTTCCCCTCCTCCTCCTCCTCCTCCTCCTCCTCCTCCTCCTCCTCCTCCTCGTCCTCCTCCTCCTCCTCCTCCTCCTCCTCCTCCTCCTCCTCCTCCTCCCTCTCCTCGGAGTGGGCCTCCGTGAGATCGGGGCTCAAGGAACGGGAGTCAACGCACACGGGGGTCAGTCAAAGCGCCGGAGCTTGCAGGGCGGGGGCTGCACTGACCCCGGGCTTGGGTGCAGGATCCTGCAGGGTCCTGCAGGTTTTTCCAGGATCCTGCAAAGCCTGACTGACCTGGGTCTGGATTGACCCGGGTCAGGAGGTCCTCGATGAGAGGGGGGGGGCTTGGGGATGACTGCCGGGCGGGCTGTGGGCGGCAGGGTGGGCTCTGGTTTTGGGGCCGTTCCCCAGATCCAGGTCGGGGAGCTCATGCGAAATCCAGGGTCGCCGTGGCCGAAGAAGCCCTTGCGTTCCGTGGTCAGCGTTCCTCATGGCTGCACGAGGGTTGTGCGGTAGGTTCGCGTCGTGTCGTGCCGACGCAGACTGCGACCCTGCCGCGGGCGCTCTGGGTGGAGCGCCGGCGGCGGCCCAGAGTCGGCCACTGTGGGCCGCTTTGGCGGTCGAGGAGCCCCAAGGGTGAAGGCGGGCACGTCCCTCCACAGGAGGGAAATTCAAACATGGTAATGAATAGTCTGGGGACGTTTTTTTTTTTTTTTTTTTTTTTTTTTTTTTTTTTTTTTTTTTTTTTTTTTTTTTTTTTTTTTTTTTTTTTTTTTTTTTTTTTAAAATATATATATATGGTATATTTGGAGATGACAATTTTTGGGTATTTTCAATTTTTCTCCCAACATCCGCCTGTGGGGGGACATGCCCGACCTAGCCCAAGGGTGAACCATCCACGCAGTGGTCAGAAACCAACTCCGAAGTCGCCTCGACACGAACTTGGCGTACGTCAGGTTCATGCGGCGTTGGCGTGCCGACGACGCCAGCGAAGTCGTTCGAGGTCGAATTCTGCGACGTCGGGGGACGCGGCAGCGCCAGGGGACCCGACGGAATTCAACCCGGAACGCACTGGACCCGACGGAATTTAACCCGGAACGATGGGAGCGGCGATCGATTCAGGGTTGAACGATCGAATCGGTGTCAAAAAAGCCTCGATCCATCCAGCTTTCGACTTCCAGCCTCAAGGGCATCGTCTCCAGCTTCACGGGCAACATCTGATTAGGCCTCGCTTCCTGACGCTCCGGCGCTCCGGCGCCGCACCCGCAGCACCCTGGACGGTGCCCATGTGCGGGCGCACTTCTTGCTTCGTACGCGGTGTCAAAAACCTTTCTGCGCGCCGACACCGCGCGAACCTGCCGCAGGTGGGACCGTGCCGTTCGGTGGTCGGTAAACAGCCCTGCCCTCTTCGATGCGTTCCCCGGGGTGCGTTTACGAGACGGCCTCGCTCGCCGGGGGGTGACTACTAGGGGGGTGGCTTCTCTGCCTTCCACATCGAGGTTGAACGATCGACGCGGTGTCGACGACCCCATGCGCGCGCCGACGCCGGCAGAACCTGGCAGTAGCCAGCCTCTCCTCCTCCCCCCCTCCTGGTCTTCCTGATGCAGCGCCTCGCTGCGACCCTCGCGCTCCGAGGGGCTGGGAAGAAGGGAGGAGGAGGGGGAGGAGGAGGAGGAGGAGGAGGAGGAGGAGGAGGAGGAGGAGGAGGAGCAGGTGGGGCCGTGGCGTTCGGTCTCGTCGGCCCCGCCAGGCGGCCCAGGCCTCTCGCGGGTGGGCGGGGCGCCGGGCCCGAGGGCAGGGCGCGGGGCCACCTGCGAGCGCTCAGGCCGTCGTCGTCGTCGTCGTCGTCGTCGTCGTCGTCGTCGTCGTCGTCGTCGTCGCCGTCGTCGTCGTCGTCGTCGTCGTCGTCGTCGTCGGCGTCGGCGTCGTCGTCGGCGTCGTCGTCGTCGTCGTCGCCTATGGGACTCCTGTTGCTCGCTGTCTCGCGCCAGGCCGCCTGCGGGGCTGGCGCTCGTCGCCCCCCGCCGCCGCCGCCGCCGCTTTCCTCCTCCTCCTCCTCCTCCTCCTCCTCCTCCTCCTCCTCCTCCTCCTCCTCCTCCTCCTCCTCCCCCTCCTCCTCCTCCTCCTCCTCCGCCGCACCCCCCCTCCGCGCCAGTAGCGGCATGGACAGCAACATCCAGATGTGCGGCGGGGACGACAGCGGAGACGGCGCGGGCATCCTCACGCAGATCCCGTGGAGGGGGGAGGGGCTCTTCCCGCGCTGCACAGCTGGACCGTATGAGTACTGCTCTCACTCCGCCTCCGAAGTTGTCTGGAAGATCTTCCGGCCTCTCCGTGCGTGTTTTTTGATACGTTATGTTTTTTGTTTTGAAGAAATACCAGTGTAATGCAGATTTTCTCACGGTTTCGTTGCACTCCTGTTTTTTTCCTGTGTTTCAAAATGGTGTTCCCGCTGCAGCGTGGGCCTAATCTTCGGATCGGCGCGATGCTCCCGTCGTTCAGAATGGCGCTCGCGCCATAGCGCGGGCCACTTTTCTGGATCCGAGTCTTGCTGCATTTTGGTCCCTTCATCATTTCCCCTCCTGTGCCTTCCCCTGGTCCTCCTGTGCTTCCTCCACTCCAGCTCCTGCTGCTGCTCGTCTCGCCCCAGCGCGGCCAATTTTTCTGAATCCGAGTCTTTCTTCATCGTCGTCGCCCCCTCATATAGCCTCCTCCGCCTTCCTCTGGTCCTCCTGTCCTCCCGATCCTTGCGCTTTTAGTTCCTGCTGCTGTTGTTCGTCCTCACCCTTTTCCTCTCCCTCATCCTCCAGCTCACTCGCCATCTCCTCCTCCTGTGCACGCAGCTCCCCTTCTTCCGATTGCGCATAACACGAAGTGGTCTTTCTGTGTGAGTCGCAGATCGGCTGTGGCACGCGTCTGCGGATAGAGAAAACTCAGCGCCACGGGAAGGGATGGGAGGGAGGGACAGGATGTCAGATGCCGCGCCCCCATGTCTCCTCCCTCCTCCCCCCCGCGCTCTCGACGGCAAGGGCAAACCCGTCGACAAGATCGCAGAGGCCTGATCGGTGAGCCCAGTCTGCTCTGGCGATCCCGGGCGGAGGAGGAGGAGCAGGAGGAGGAGGAGGAGCAGGAGGAGGAGGAGGGGGAGGAGGAGGAGGAGGAGGAGGAGGAGGAGGAGGAGGAGGCGGCAGGAAAGTTGGCGGCTTAACAACACAGGCGTCGTAGGACAGAGCGCTGTTCAATACCAAACAGGCTTCCGGAGAGGATTCAACTTGTGGCAAAGCAGCTCTGCATGCGCAATTCGCTTTAAAAGTCAAAGTGGATGCGATCGCTTTCTCGCACCTTTTTTCCACTGGGCTGAGATTGAGCCCGATTGAACTAGAATGCGCGCTGCTGCTACTGCGTTAAAGCCAGAGGGGGCCGTCTGCTGCTGCTGCTGCTGCTGCTGCTGCTGCTCCTGTTCCTGGTCACCGATCGATCGCCCACATGGATTGAGTGACGGGTACGTCACTAGTATTCGAATCTAAGTAGCCAGCGTCCTTGAGCTCCAGACTTTCTGGAGTTTGTAGACATTTTGTCGGCCAAGATGGTCATGCTGTTGCAGTCGCGGCTAGCAGGCTATTTATTTCCATCTTGACTTATGATTGGGCCATCTGTTTGAATGGGACACAGTTGGTCTCCTCCCCCGCTTCCTCCGCATCTTCCACCTATTCCTCCACCTCTTCGTCCTCCGTCCTCTCCCTTTTCCCGCTCGCGCTGCCTGCTGGCCCCAGTGCGCAACTGTTCCCACTTTCGTGAGTTCTTGAGGGGGGCCCAGCGGACCGACGTCGTACGCACACCCATGCGGGACCTCGCGACTCTCTGGGGGTCGTTTATTGCGCAATTGTCGCCACCTTCGTGGGCTGTTGGAAGGCCCGGCGGAGGGACCTCGTACGCACACACACACACACAATGCCTCGGGACGTTCTGGGGGCCGCTTATTGCGGAACTATTGCGCCCTCGTGGGTTCTCTCGAGGCCCAGGCTAGCGACGTCATACGCACACCCAAGCGAGACTTCGCGACACCATGGAGGTTGCAAATTGCGCAGCTGTCGCCAGTTTTTCCTGGGCTCCTGGGAGCATCGCTGGCACTTTTGCCCAGCAGGCTACCTCGCCCAGCGGAGGGACGTCTTACGTATTCACGCAACTTATTTTCTTTTTCAGGCCATCGCCGCCATTGCGTCTTTCCCCTCCATGTCCCATCCTGTGGCATTCTCTTATTTCGGTCCCAAGAGGCTTGAACGCCCACAGCTTCTTGGCAGCTTGCACAAAGGGTCGTGTTCCTTGTCGTGCCATCTTCCGTTCGGGGTGAGCCCATTGCTGTCGGCACGTTCCCATTTTTTTTCGGCCCCGCCTTTAGGGACTTCTGAAGACCCCAAGGGGACCTCCCGACACTTCACCTTCTCTCTTCTGCACGATGTCCCTCCATGCCTCCTCCCTCTTGCCCTCCTCCCTCCTCCTGGTCCCCCCTCGTTCCTTCGAGGCGTTGCCTTCTTTTCCAGCCAGGCGTGCTCTCGAAGTTTGGGGCCCTGGGGGGGCCATCACAGATGGATATGGCTCGAACACTTGAGGAAGTGACATGACGACGATGACGACGGTGACAAGATGACAATAGATGACAATGACGATGACAATTGATGACCATTTTCGGATGATGACGATGATGATGATGATGATGATGATGATGATGCTGATGCTGATGCTGATGCTGATGCTGATGCTGATGATGATGATGATAATGATGATGATGATGACGATGATGCTGATGATGATGATGCTGATGCTGATGCTGCTGCTGCTGCTGATGATGATGATGATGATGACGATGATGATGATGATGATGATGATGATGATGATGATGATGATGATGATGATGATGATGATGAGGATGATGATGATGATGATGATGATGCTGATGATGATGATGATGCTGATTATCATGACGATGACGATGACGATGACGATGATGCTGATGCTGATGCTGATGCTGATGCTGATGATGATGATGATGATGATGATGATGATGATGATGATGATGATGATGAAAACGATGGAGTCCGAGGCCTTTTTTGGGGGTCATGCCAGTTTTTTCCGTGGCGTTGGACTTCCAGGAGCGCACGGCAGCCCCCGGGGGCCGCCTTTCTCTCCCTGCCGGGCACCGCTCCCCGGACGCGGTGCCCTCTCTCCCGCGGAGGCGGGCCGCGAGCCGCTCGGGGGACGAGGGCGCCAGCCACGCGGCATCCTGACGGACTTTACCAGCCTCGAACGTATCCTTATCCCTAGGATTGGCACGCCAAAAGTCGATGACAATCTTAGGGATTCGCCCTCAAAAATCAGGGAATCCCTAAGATTGGCATCGTGATGAGGAGGTGCCCAGCATAGGGATAGGGATATGTTCCAGACTGGTAAGGACTGCTGCAGAGCCCCTCGGCCAGGGCGTCGACTCACTGGTGTAACCCCGATGAAACCATCTTTTCCTTCCGGCGGGAACTCTAAAAAAGGCAGGCGTCCAAATGGTGGTCGCGAGGTGTGCGGGCGTCCCGGGATCGTCCAGGCAGCTTCTCGTGCCCCGGGCGACGAGAGATGCGGCGAGAGCCTGCCCTGTTGCAGAGAGGGCCGGGACCTCGTGGTCCCCGCATGGGAAGTTCAAGACATCGTACAGTGGGGACCCATGCCGAGAAACACTCTGCTTGCCTCCAGGGTGCCCTGGGTTTCTTGGGTTTCGATGGTCTTGCTGTGGAAAGCGTGACGCGCCCACACCAAAAATCCATGGACGTCCTGGGGTCTCAGGGCTGGGTTTCTTGTGGATGGTTTCTGGTGGTCGGGCTTATTGTAACCCCGATGAACATATTTTGTTTCTTCCGGCGGCAACTTAAAAACGGCAGGCGTCCAAATGGTGGTCACGACGTGTGCGTGCGTCCCGGGATCGTCCATGCAGTTTCTCGTGCAGGTGCGATGAGAGATGCGGTGAGAGCCCCTCCCTTGCAGAGACGGTCGTGACTTCGTGGTCCCCGCATGGGAAGTTCAAGGCATCGTATGTCTGGGTCCCCCTTCTCCTCCTCCTCCTCCTCCTCCTCCTCCTCCTCCTCCTCCTCCTCCTTCCCCTCCCCTGCATCCAAACCTGCTGCGTCATGGATCGAGGCCAAATCAGTCCGAAACGGGTGGAAGAAACGTTCAAGGCGAGGCGCGCCTTCTCTTTCGGAAGGCTCGGATGGCCTCCGGCCTTCCTGAGGACCTTTCCCGGGCCTTCTGCCAGGCCAAAGATCAGGAGGGAAAAAGACACAGACACAATTGATCGTCGATTCCCCAGAATATGGGAAAATATGGGAAGCGGGGGGGAAGACAAAAACCCAGAAAATATAGTAATATTTTGGGAATCCTGTTATTTGTGTGTATTTATTAGTGTGTGTGTGTGTGTGTGTGTGTTTGTGGGACTCTTCAAAAGACAGGGGAACGAAGAATGACGTAAACATACAACCTCCGAGTTTGTATGTTTCCGTGATTCTTCGTTCCCCCAACAGAGGGCTTCGGAGAAGCCCCGCGGCCCTCTGAGCAGGCCCGTCCCCTCTCGATTCCCCCCCTTGGCGTGCCCCCGGTTTGGTTTTCGGGTCAGAACTCGGGTCTCTGGGGGCCGTTCGGGACGAGTCCAGCACCCCCAGAGCGCCCTCGGCGAGGCGCAGCTGCTGGAACGCATCCCGAGGCTGGAAGCCCATGGGGAACCAGGGAACCCGACCCCCCCACTCCTCCTCGGCGCGATTCTCGATCCTCCAGTCCGCTTCTCTCCGTGGCAGGCGGGCGCTGCCGTGTCCTCTCTTTCAGGAGGAGAAAAAATCACACACACACAGACGCAATTAATCGTCGATTTCCAAGGAAATATAGGAAAATATGTGCAGTGGGGGGGAAGACAGAAACCCAGAAAATATTGGAAACTAAGGGGAATCCTTTTATTTGTGTGTATTTATTTGTGTGTCCCAGGGCCCCTTCACTCTTGCCATCTGCGCCGGGCGGGGCGGCAGGGAAATGCTCGCCGCGGAAGTCGCGCTGCCCGAAGACCGCTCCGGCGTGGCGGTGGGGATGCTGTTCCTCACGAAGGACGGGGCGCCTTCGCGCGCCGGGGGGCGCGGGGGGGGGTCGGCGCCGGTCCGAGGCCTCCGCGCGGGCCTCAGAGGTTTTGGTGCCTGTGCCAGTTTTGCTCCCCCGCCATGTGGAGAGGATAGGGGAACGAAAAGTGACATAAACATAAAAACTCGGAGGTCCGCGCGGATTTCTCGGATCGGCGCTGGGGGCCCCCGGCGGCGCCTCCGGCGCCGCCCCTGGCGCGCGCCGCGCGCCAGGGAGGAGGGTCCAGCGCCGATCCAAGAAATCCGCGCGGACCTCCGAGGTTCTCTGTTTATGCCACTTTTCGGTTCCCTAGAGGAGTTCGTCTGTACTGCGACTTCGGGGGTCTCGCCCGTGCTGTGCGTGGCGGTCCGACTCGTGTGCCCGCTGCGTGTTCGATGCGGAGGCAACGCGAGCTTGGCGTGGGCTCGGCGCAGACTCGGCACGTTCGATTTCCCCTCCCCGACGCGGACAGCGACGGGACTGGCAAGGCCCCCCGAAGATGCAGCACAAGATCGTGGCCCTTTCTTTGTTTGTTGCTGTTCATGGACGTGTGTACACTCGACCCGCATGGGAAGGATGGGCAACCTTCCCTCAAGGGTACTCCAGATTTCGTAATAAAGGGAGGGGGTCTCATTTGGGGGGGGGTCTCTTCCAGGCTATCTTGGAGGGCCTGGGGGGTCTGGGGACGATGTTTTGGAGGGTTCTCCCACGGGGGAGGTCTGAAATGGCTTGTCTTGTAGGGTCCAGACCCCCTCCCTTTTATTACGAAATCTGGAGTGCCCTTGCATCCTTGCCCCCTCGGTCCATCCCTGACGACCTTCGCTGGCCAGCCTCGTTCGACAGACGTTCACATGGGCCTCCCAGGCTTGAGTCGGGCTTGTCCCTCTACAGGGGGGATATTCCAAAATGGTCAAAAAAATAGTCTGGGGACTATGTTTGGACTATGGTTTGACCATCTGGGGGTATTTTTGCAGTATTTTTTAAAAACAAATTTCGCCCCAAATCCCCCTGTAGGGGGACAGGCCCGACCTGATCCTGGGCCCTTGTACAGTGCCGTTTTTGATACATGCTCCGCGTGCGGATCATGTATTCAACATGCAGGGATGTGGCATCAAAAACAACGATGAGTTCATGCATAAATTTACTCATACATTAGCCATGTATTAAACATCCTATACTTCGAAAAATCCTATGTATAAAAAACTGCCCTGTACCCATTTCGGGCGTCCAACTGTCTAGGGGTGGCGCTGGCTCGGGCTGGTGCCGTCCCCAAAGATGGGGTCCCAGCTGTTCGAAGGGTTGAGGTTCGAGGTGGTCGGCCGCTTTCGGCCAGAGGAGGAAGAGGCACCCGTACCGCTACCCTTCCCTCGTTTTCCTCTTTTTGGGCCTCATGGGCGGCCCTCGTTGCCACTGCTGCATCCTTACCGCGCGTCCTTCCGATGCGGGCCGACGTGCGTGTCCTCCCCCCGGGTGCTCTGCGCCGCCGCCCCGCGGCAGCCGCCCGGGGCTGCCCGTCCGCCGGGCCGCTCCCGCGCGCACTCGCACGCCCCTCCTCCTGACGCTGATAACGATTGATACTGATGATGATAATGATGATGGATGGTTATGCTGATGATGCTGCTGCTTCTGACGACGATGCTGTCTGCTGTTGCTGCTGACGCTGCTGCTGCTGCTGACGATGATGATGATGCTGCTGATGATTATGATGCTGACGATGATGATGATGCTGATGATGAAAATGATGATGATTCTGATGATGATGACGATGATGATGATGATGATAATGATGATGATGCTGATAACAAAGATGATGTTGCTGATGATGACGACGATGATGACGGTGAGGATGATGTGAGCGATGACTGCTGTTATGTTGATTCGTAGGCATCTCACGAACGAGCGAAGGTGGTGACAGACGACCTGGGTTCTCAGCAATAGTCGCAACAAACAGACTGTCGAGACGCTAAAATTAGGACACACTCTGGGATCTACTTTTCGGGCCGTTCCTTAGACCTAGGTCGGGGGACTTATTCGGGGCCGAGGCACGTTGCGGCCAGAAAAGCACCTTCGTCTCTTACTCGGCGTTCCTTATGGTAGCACGATGGTTTTGATACGATTGATTACACGGAGTAAGCTTGTACTTCGCGGAGTGATCGGAAGGGGAGGCTGGTGTGGATGATGATGATGATGATGATGATGATGATGATGATGATGATGATGATGATGAGGATGATGCTGATGATGATGCTGATTCTGATGATGATTATGGTGGTGGTGATGATGATGACGATGGTGGTGGTGGTGATGATGATGATGAGAATGAGGATGAGGATGAGGATGATGATGATGGTGGTGGTGGTGGTGGTGATGATGATGGTGGTGGTGGGGGTGATGATGATGAGGATGATGATGATGCTGATGCTGCTGATGATGCTGATGCTGATGATGATGATGATGATAATGATGATGATTGTGATGATGATTGTGATGATGGTGATGATGATGATGGTGGTGGTGATGATGATGAGGATGAGGATGAGGATGCGGATTATGCTGATGATGCTGATGATGATGACGACGACGATCATGATGATGCTGCTGATGCTGCTGATGCTGATGATGATGATGATGATGATGCTGATGATGATGACGACGACGATCATGATGATGCTGCTGATGCTGCTGATGCTGATGCTGATGCTGATGATGATGATGATGATGATGATGATGATGATGATGATGATGATGATGATGATGGTGCTGATGATGATGATGATGATGATGATGATGATGATGATGATGATGATGATGATGATGATGATGATGATGATGATGATGATGATGATGATGATGATGGTGATGATGATGATGAGGAGGAGGAGGAGGAGGGAGGAGGCGGAGGAGGAGGAGGGAGGAGGAGGAGGGGGAGGAGGAGGAGGGAGGAGGAGGAGGAGGAGGAGGAGGAGGAGAAGGAGGAGCAGGAGGAGCAGGAGCAGGAGCAGGAGGAGCAGGAGGACGAGGAGGAGGCGTGTGTGGACGCGCGGCGCCGCCGCAGCTCGGCGGCCCAGCCCGGCCGAGGACACCGAGGCCCGCGCCAGGCTCAAGGAGCGCTTCGAGCTGAAGCTCGAGCACGAGGGCTTCCACATCCTCGGGTACCGCCAGGCGCGCAGTGCCCACATCGCTCCGCCTCCTTCTCAATCCTGGCGTTGCATTTTTCTTCCACGACGGGCGCTTTCGCCCAGTTTCGGGGCCCTGGGCTCTCATAGATCGATCCGGCTCAAAAAAGGAGTCAGACAGCTGGCTCGCTAGGTCGGATCTCGGGGTCCTCGGCAGCATCGTCGAAGCATCTTGGGTTTACACTGGGCTCGTCCTCCTCCTCTTCCTCCGAGCCGCGAGACCAGGCGGCTGCCCCCGCGCGCGCGCCGCGGCGCACGGGCAGGTGCCGGTGGACAAGAGCGTGCTTGGCAAGGCGTCGGCGGAGTCGGAGCCGTGGATCGAGCAGATCGTGGTGCAGCACCCGGAGCCGCTCGGGCGGCTGCGCCCTGTCTCTGCCGGGCGGGGCGTTTGGGCATCGGCCCTGCTCCAGTCGGCGGCGCGCTGGGGGGGGGGGGAAGCGAGAAGGAGAGCGCCTTCTCGGAAGGCTCGGGAGGCCCCCCCCTGCCTTGGGAGAAGCGTTGGAGGCCTCCCGCTGAAGCTGCGGAGCACCTCTCGGAGGGCGCGAGGGCTTCTGCGGGGCGCCGCCGCCCTCCGAGGAGGCCTCCGCCTGCTCGCTTGCCTTCGGTCGGGCCTGTCCCTCTACAGGGGGAATGGTCAAAATACTAAACAGATAGTCTGGGGACGTTTCTTGTTGTGTGTCTTTGGGTGTGGTTTCTTGTTTGTTTGTTTGTTTGTTTGGTATCCCCCGCCCGCCTATGCTCTGTCTCCTCAATTAGTGCTTTGCGCGGCCCGCCTAGCTCTTAACCGGAAGAGGCTCGCTCTCGACCCGCAGACCAACAACAAGTTTGTTTGGTATGCGTATGTGTGTATACATGTATATATATGTATATGTATATATATATATGTATGTATAGTTGTATATATGTTTATAGGTATATAGATATAGTTATGCATTTATGAATGTATGTAGGTAGGCATGCATACATACATGCATGCATGCATATATGCATGTATGTATGTATGCATGCATGCATGCATGCATGCATGTATGTATGTATGTATGCATGTATGTATGTATGTATGTATGTATGTATGTATGTGTGTATGCATGCATGTATGCATGTATGTATGTATGTAATGTATGTATCTATGTATGTATGTATCTATGTATGTATGTACGTATGTATGTATGTATGTATGTATGTATGTATGTATGTATGTATGTATGTATGTATGTATGTATTTATGTATGTATGTCTGTATGTCTGTCTGTCTGTATGTATGTATGTATGTACGTATGTATGTATGTATGTATATATATATATATATATATGTATGTATGTGTGTTTGTGTGTGTATATATATATATATATATGCGATCCGCCTGTAGGGGGACGCGCCCTCCCCCGCGGCCCGCGGTGTGCCGTCGAGCCGGGCGCTCCCCGCGGGGACACCTTCGGGCCCCGGGCCGTGCTGCTCTTACCCACTGTAGCCTTGACCACCGGAGGGAATGTCGAGCACCAGGGTCGGGAGCCTTGAGACGGGGGTCAATGCAAACGGGGGTCAGCCACGGCACTGGATCCTGCAGGATCCTGCGAAGACCCCCTCTGGCTGACCCGGGTTAGCGAGCCGCTCGTGGCCGCGAGGCGGCCGCACATATTGGCTGACCCGGGTTTGCGAAGACCTGCGTTGCATTTTTTCTTTATATATATATATATATTTGTTTTTGTTTTTCTGCATTGCAGTTTTTGGTTTCCTGCTGACCCCGGTCTGGACTGACCCGGGTCAGAAGATCCCCGACAGTGCGGTACCGAAATTGGAGGTTTTCACGTGTCGGGCCCTGGGAGACACTTTTGTCCGACGCCATGTCGACACGTTTTCGACACCGTCTCTCGACACTCTTCTGGGTGCTCGAAAGTATTTCTGGCACGTGGTCCTTGAGCACGATGGGAGCAACATAAGCCCCAGGGCCCTCGCAGATCGGTCCCTTCGGCGCGAGCGACGGAGCACAGATTCGACTAGGCTCAAGTCGGGCATGTTCCCCTCTACATGAGTAGTCAAACATAGTAAACAAAATAGTCTGGGGACGATGCTGCGACTATGTTCGATTACTTGTGTTTATTTGTCGTTTTTTTTTGGGGGGGGGGGGGCTTCTTCCAAAATCCGCCTGTAGAAGGACATGCCCGACCTGAGGCTAGGCGTCGCGCCCAGGGGGGGGGAAATGAGAAGGAGAAGGCCTTCTTAGAAGGCGGCGGGGCCTCTCAGAAGCCCTCGTGCCTCCTGAGACATTTTCTGTGCCGTGGGGGATGTCTCGGAACACTTTTCGTAAGGCCGGGGGACTTCCGAGCCTTCTCTGAGATCCGACGTAGCGAAGAAGTTACAGCATCGTGAGCAGTCACGCCTGGAGCCTTAGACCCCATCTTTCTGCGCCGTTTCTCGCGCCAGATCGATCTGCGAGGGTCCCAGGGCCCGAGAAAATGCGAAAGCGCCCGCCAGGATCTCAGGGGCCCCTGGGGACCGCCAAGAAACGGCCCGGAGTGAAAAAGCCGGTCCCTGGGGAGGCGTCAGGGCTTCGGGACTCCGAGGCGGGGATTTATCCATGACCACCGCCTGGGGGGTCGACCTTCGGGGCCGCCGTCGGGCGGTGGATAATCATGGATAGATTCGGGCCCCGGGGAGGCCAAACATGGTATGCCTGGGGGGGGGCCAGGTCTGGAGGGTCGGGGCGCAGGGCGCTCGGGAGGCGTGCCACTTTCTCTTCCTCCTCCTCCTCCTCC